AAAAAAATTACAAATTTAAAAATCGCTAATTTTCGAAATTTTTTCAATTTTTTTTACTAAAAACTGCCGTAACTTTTTCAAAAATGAACGTATCAATATAATTTTTTTTTATATAGATGCTTGATGTCTTTACCTATCATTTGATATATTTTTTTTGTAAATGTGACCCTTTATCTGCCCACAGGGGGGGATTTAAAAAGACAACTTTTTCACAAAAAATTAACTTTTTCAACTTAATTTTTAAAAATGTTCCGGAAGGTCTGACACTTTTATATATATCTTAAATTAATGCTAATGTAATATACTTAAATTAAAAAAAAAAAAATTTGACCTCTGGACTTGTCTTCATGGTGAAAATGGCTATCGAATGCTATTTTCGTGTGAAAATTCTCGATTTTATTTTTTATATTATATTTAACTTTTATAATGCTATAACTTATTGAAAAGTGTATGGATCCACACAATTTTTTTTATGAGAAATAATACTTTTTAATAAACCCTTTTTCATTCGACATACTTTGTCTTAATCGAGATATTAATAAGGAACCATCAGCTCAAGAAGTTTTTGGAATAAAACACCAATTTTTTTAAAATTAAACACTATCTAAAGATTTGCATCGAAGCGTTTATTTTTGATAGTGATTTTAATCACTGTCAGATATCATTATACTTGATCCAACTATACCACGTCACCACTGTGCCCTGACCCCCCTGTGCTGGGTTTTTTTTAATTGATAAGTTACTAACATTTGACTAAGTCCTTTTGCTCTTCACCATCTTCTCCATTAATTTTCATTTTGTTCATAGCCTTTATTTTTTCCAAAGTAATTTCTATTTTTGTTTCATTTTCATTATTATTAGCTTGATTGATTTGCTGTAGTTTATATTCACTTATTTTTTTTCGGTTAAGGATCACTTCATAGGCAGAACCTACAATAGTCAAAATAGTCACTGCTCCAACTAAAATACTGAAATCATAGCAAATTAGATGTCGAATGTTCTTATCAGACTTTTTAATTTAAAGAAAAATTTCTATTTAATTTACTCTTAATTTAACTTAATTTAATTAAACTGTTAATTCTTACATCAAGAGGTAGAATTTTTTATCGGACCATAGAGAATAAGTTCCAGGAACTGGTCGGACATTTACGACGTTGTAATGGCGGTAACTTTGATCTGTACCTTCCTTTGGAACATTAACCATGTTTTGTACATCTGTTGGGCTACAGTCTTTTGGCATACATAATCCAAGTGATATAATTCTAGTCTATAAAATAACATATAGTTTTAATTACCATTAAAAAAAAAGAAAAAGAATGTATTATTACATTCACTATTATTTACATTCACTACAAGCCTGTTTTACTAAATATTTTGATTATAATACACTTTAATGAAAAAATTAACATTTTTAAGTCATTAGGGCTGCATGAAATTTTACGATAGAGATGATTATTCTTTTAATTAATAGATTTGGTGATGAATTTCAATAAATTTATTTGTTGAAGTTCAAACGAGTATTCTTGTCTAATGGGAGATCAGTCGACAGGACAGTTTGCTTAATATATTTTATCAAATTCGTAGGCTTAATCTTCACGCGTCTTGTAAACTTAGAATTTAACTAGAAAACATTATATTAAGATAGTTTAATTTCATTGTTAATTTTATTGTTATACAATAATATGATAATATCTGTTTGCATATCATCAAAAATCGTAACTTATTCCTCGTCATTAAAAATTTTGATTTTTGTAAGATATTTTCTATTATTTCTTAGAATTGATTGTCATTGTGCTTTTGACATCTATTAATTACGATAGTAATTATATTTATTAGCTATGAATTAGGCGATTATATCATAATGATTTATTTGAATTAAACAAATTATGTTGAATATTATTTAGTATCAAAGTAAATTATCTAATAAGCCGAACACTGGGGCATCATATATTTTATAATTTCCCATAAATCAGAGTGATGGGTTGAGTTTGCTGGAAGGGTGTACTCCGCTTTTTTGTTAAAATGAGAACTACTCTTCAAGAAGAGGACCTTTTTTAGAAAATGATTTTAATTTTGGGGGGCCATGTTTCCCAGGGTCCCCTTGTATTTGTGCTTGGTTATAAGTATTTTCATGTGAAGTAAGCAGAAGGGTCAACTTCAATGTATCCGATTAGATAAAAAAAAAACACTAAAAATCACATTTTTGAGATTTTTTTTTTTTTAATTTGTGTTTTTATGATGATAAAGATTATAGATAAAATAATAAAATATTAATAAAAAAAAATTGTTTTAATTTTTTATGGTCACAATTTTAGTTGCTTCACTTTATGTAATACTTGATTATATTAAATTTTATTTATTTATTTTATTACTTAGAAGCATAAATTGCATTTTTTTTAATCTTAATTGTATACTAACTCGAGGGGTCAGTTGGTCATGTAGTTTGATTGACAATTTCGCAATATAAAACGTTGCATCGAACGGTGGAACAAATTTATTGGTTTTTTTGTTTTGGAGCTCTGTGCATTGGGTGTGTGAGCCCAGCCAAAAGTCATTGCCGAAAAAAAGCTGAGAAGAGTAACGTCCGCTGGCGTCAGCCACTAAAAAAAGACAATCAAGAATTAATCAATGTTAATAGAAACAAAGCTTAAAGAGAAATTTTTATATTTTTTTAAACGCTAAAAATGACATGGTAACTAATGATATAACTGAAGTGTTGCAGGAACCACGCAAGAATAAATTTAAGACAATAAGATCTACTGTCTCATCACGATTATGTGCATCATTATGTGTTTAATAAATATGTCGTTGTACCTTTTTATCGATACGACTGTAAACTCACCAATAAAAAGTGTTACATAGTCGATTTTTATTTTTTTCAACAGGTTTTTTTGCAAAACGAATTCGCAGAATTATTGTATACCATTACAGACTAAGGTGACGGAAAGTGATCGATTAAAAAAATATATACTTTCTTTTTCATATTTTGTTTTTATAGTTTTATATAATTCATTTCTTCTACTATTAGTAACATTGAGAAAGTGGTTAAACTGGTCAGTATATTAAGACCTTGTGTTCATGTCTAAATGGCGTGCGTGCTACCAGCCAATCTGTGATCATTTTGACTGATCAAGTGTTCAAGGTCGCGTTCTTACAGCCATACTTTTTAAGTCCACTTAATGCTTAAATGAATTGTTAGGCAATCGCGCGATGAAAGAGATAATTCCGTAGATCCGGACAAACCAGCAACCGATTTGAAGATGAAAAGATAGATATAGTACAAACTTCAATACATAAAGATGTGATGGAAAAAATTGACAAAGAGAAATTTAGTATTAAAACGAATTGTTTAATCATTAAATAAATAACTCAAAAGTTTGTATGAAGAAAAAGACAAGTAGCTTTCTTTTTCTTTCTTTCTCGTCTTCTATTTGGTTACCAGAATTGCACAACGACTGTAATTAAATGATTTTTCATATTTAATACTTACACAAATAACAGGAAAGAATTGTCATAAATATGGGTCATCATCAGTGACCAAAAATATATGACCAAACATGGTTTGTTCATGCTCCGGGCATGGGCATAAAGTAAATAAACGAGGCAGATATCCGGGTATCAAAATTAAAACACAAACCACCGTAAGTGACATACAAAGAAAGTGCTTACCAAGTAAGTCAAATTGTTTCGGATCCAATGAGCACGTGTCTTTCTTATCAAACAATTGAAAAAATAAAAAACTACAGATAGTATGTGTCAATTGATTTAAAAGATACATGCAACTTATATTAAATTAAATATCAACTATTATCTCGTTGTTTTCTGTTTTAATAAAAATTAGTATGTTTATTTACATACTAAATAATAAAAAGATATTAGGAACTCCAAAAATCTGTTCTTAAATGTTTTTTCAGACGCAAGAAACTTTATTCTGTTTATTTAATTTAAATAACAAAAATTATAAATTTAAATTTCTAATTGTACTATTCTGTACTATATTTGATTAGACTGAATATCAATGTTATAGTATTATTAACATACAATTTAATCTAGTAACAAATGGCAATTACTTATTGAAAGACAATAGACTTAACCGATTGTATAGATGGTTTAAAAAATGGTTTTTTTTAATAATATTTTTTGCACAAATTTTTATTTCGAAATTTTATATGATAGCAACACATATAAAGAGCAGGACTTTTCATTCTTAAATAATATCTGCAATATATTCTATGAGCAAAAATGAATTTATAATCATCCCATTACACCTTATATATGCAACACAATCATTTTTCAAATTATTTTTTTAATTTATTTATTGTGCCTTTAAAATAACTAAAAATAAAAATAAAAATTTATTCAATAAGACACCAATAATTTTGTTAGATCATGAAAGTATAAAGTCACCTAAGTAATTTTTGCAAGTTTTTATGTATTATACCAGTAGAAACAGTCATTAAATTATAAGATCTCTAAATTTATTTTAAAGTTGTTTGTACTATATTAGAACGATTTTTTTTAATTAAAAATATTTTTCTCTTTCACACGAAAACACGCAATAGCATACCATATTAAAGATAAAGTGTCACTCGAATCGTCATAATGACTTTCACGTGTGTGTAATTTTATTCATTTTGGACGATTTCGTGACTTATAATTTAATGTAGTAGTTCGTCTAGTTTCGCAATAGCCTTATCTTCCAGCCGATAGCATCAAGCTTTTTTACGACTCAAGTACAAATTTAATAATTGGTTACAGTAACGAATGTAATGAAGTAATAAAATATTTTGTTTAGACGGTAATTTTCGACTGAAATTAGATAAATATTAACATATATTTTAGATTAATTTTGCTATGTCGTGTCTCAGCATTGACGAAATATCGTTGCAAATCTGTAAGGAGAATAATAACGGCTACGTAGAGCTGCTATAATAATTACTATTATCATTATGTATTCGTTGATACAACTATACACGGCATGTGTAATAGATAATCGTCGATTGCATCGAGTCCACCGTGAAAGCGATGAACGCTGATTATGATTTATACTTTCCATTCGCAAGGCAGTGTGCATGTGTAAATGTGCGCACGGCTGTGGATTAGAAATGTACATGATGTTACCATGGTAGCTATGACTATTGAAATCATGCCATATCCACACAAAACAATTTATTGAATGTTCGAAAATCCATTTACACAAATTGTTGCCATCTTTCAAAACTTGAAATTTTTCGCTACGGTGAATATATTGTGTTCTTCGATATTTCAAATTGATGAGACCGCATATCACATCGTATTTCGGCACGACAAAGATAAATTACACTAAAGTGAATGTGTTGCGACACAAAGAAATTATTTCTCTTCTTATTTTAAACTGACCGAGACCTAGATTTATCTACCATTAGCATAAAATAGACAAAAACAACACGCTCAATTAACCGGTCACGTTAAAAAGTCAATAATACTGGAAATAATAATAGGAATTAACAAATAATTCTGTTTTTGGTTAATAACCTCAATGAGCCTTGATCAGTTGAATTTCGTCCTAAATTGTATTTTCGAAAATTAAAACTAACAGTTTGTGGTATTTAACAGCATTTTAGCTTAATTTACTCAGACATAACTTGATTGGTAAGATGATTTTATAGTAAAAATAAAAAACAATAAAATGAAATATTGGTAAAAATAGTTATTGAGCATAAACAGGGACGTAATTAAAGTGGGAAAAAAGAGGTAATTCTTGAAATTTTTCGTCTGATATTTCATACAATTACAAATAAACACGTTTTGTATTTATAGCTCATATGTCCTCACTCGGAGGAATGAACTCTGTTGTTAGCCTTGTTAATAAAAGTGATAGGCATCTATTATAAGAGATAATAATATAAGTACTGCACAGACTGTGGGCGTCCATGATCACCTCTTAATCGTCAATTCAATCAAAAACTAGATATCATTAACATTTTTAAACAACGGGGGTAAATTAAGATACAACACTCCGCAGTTATGTAAATATGGATTTCATCTTAAAGATCATTGCGTCATAAATACTTAGTTCAATGTCGTGTCTTACAGATTACTTTTCTTTTTTAACTGTGCTATTTGAAAAAGTAGATGTTCGTACAATAACATTGTAGTGTTATAATTATTATGACTTGTGGTTTTCATATTTTCTGAAGTCAAATGCACGTGCGTTATAGTAATCAAGACGATGAAAATGTTTCTATGTCAGTGGAATTTGCCGCAGCTCACGTGTGAAACACACTTGAGTTTTTATTGTCATTAATGTCAAAATAACTACCAACAATCAACAGAGAAACGAAAACTGCGCTATTTGTGGTTACTTAAAATTGTATACTAATCACTTTCGAGCCAATTTTTTTTTTTCACTTTCATATTGTTTTTTGCAAGTTGTAACAATTTATAAATCTTGAATTGATAATTAAAAAAAAAATTTAAAAACAAAAGGTGTTCTCCATATTCCCGTTAATTAGGCTCTGATCATTATAAAACATAAATTGTTATTGCATATTTTTTTTCATAGTCATACTAAATTAAAAGTTTAGCTCGTTTTAATTGGCACTTCTAAAATGTACGAATTTATAGTTAAAAATTTGAATAAATTGGTTCAAAAATTGACTTCTATGAATAGGTTACAAAAAATATATCTCCCACATGATAAAAAAATGGTTTTTCTTTTGTTTTTAGCAATTCACTAATAAAATCGAAATATCAATAGAATTTAAATAAATTTTCTTTTAATATTGACAAGTGCATTGAATAACTACAATTGATAAACATCGTGTCTGTTTCACGCTATATGCACTTCTTTTTTGTAGTTTTCATGTTATCATTTATAGAATCATAGGATTAAAAGGAAAGTATCGTCACAACAAACTGAATTTCAGGTTAAAGGTAATCTAACAGGTTTTTCTACATAAAAATTTGGGTGCCGTCGATTTATGTTCGTCATACAGATTCACTTTCTTTTAAACGTGTATTATAGCTACAGGGTAAAATGTAAAAAAAACTACACTATTACTATTTTTCATTATTCCATCATTATTATTTACAAAAAACTGATGTAATCAATAATATGGCTGTTTGTATGATAATATTCAGGAGGAGGGTGTGGTCGGATCAAAACGACGTCCTCGTAAGTCTTCTTTTTCCTCGCCTTTATCCCTACTATTTGAGGTCGGCCAAGAGTAATTAAAAAAAATATAACAATTATCTATTATGTATCATACCAGTGACGCAATTGGAAAATTTTTTTTAGGAGCCATAAGATTTTAATTAATTTTGATTACTTTCATTTTATTACACTCTTTAGTAAAAACGTTAAACTCCCATCTCCAAATGGTTATTTTAAAAACTACTGATGAAATTTATACAACATGTTGTTAATTTTGATATCAAAAGTGGACTACAAGATCAAAAAAATAATAATGCTTTAAACAATCTACTTAAAAGCAAGACAAAGCCACTTTTTACTTTTTAAAAATAATATATTATCATATTTCAATTAAGCATTAGCACAATTTATATAATTTATCATACCACCGTTAAGTAAAATAGCTCAGGAAATATATTCTTTTGTAATTACTTTTGTACGTCTTAACTAATTTTAAGTGTTTATCGTTCAATAAAAAAATAAAAAAATATTCTTTGGATAATTACTAACAACAAATTAAAATTTTAAATTTTCTCTCGATTTTAATTAATGTTACATTAATTAACACATGAATTGACGTTTTATTACTTAAAGAAGATTTTATTCAGTAATGAACTAATTGTAGTAAAATTTAAGTTAAATAAATAGGTCATAACTATTGAAGCCTGTAGTATTTTTAAATCAACGAACTCATTTTATATAGTGAGTTTATGTAAATAAATTTAATTCTATACATGTGTAGTTTACTGCAAAAATTGTATACATTGCAATGTTTTTAGTAATTAATTTATATTAAATATTTTAAAATAAGTGAAAATCTGTGGAGCTTGAAACTTGAGCAAGTAGGTAATCTAATAAATAATAATACGTCTCAACATTTCCGGTCATTTTGCGTTCAACTTAAACTATTGTTTTTACGTTCTAAATAGTTCCAAACTAAATGGTTAAGTACTCAACTGTGTTCTGTTTGAATTATTTAAAGAATGTTACCTTATTGATGCCAATCGATAAATATTGTCAATAAACCTTTAAAAATATGACTCACGTTATCAATATTTTTAGTTAAAAATACATTTATATTTTTGAAGGTATCACTTTAAGTTGTTATCATAATATTTACAGTAGAAATCACTGCCAGTTACTTAAGTATATATATATTGGACCCTTTTTTTTCAATTATAACGAAAACCAATATTAGAAGTGACTCTTTAATTTAAATTAAGAAATTTGTCTAGCTTTATAATCTTAACTTTATTTAACCCTAAACAGGGTAAAGTTTTGCGTGAAAAAAAGTATCTTTGAAGAATAAACTATGGTATTCTTAGACATTACTTACTTTTAGAAGCCCAAATAGAACCTTTTTTTAGAGATTCTAAGTAAATTTTCATTGTATCTCGACACTGGACAGACAGCTTGGAGGCGGCTGGTAACATGATTGGATTCCATCTGTGAGGGTTGTAAACATTCAATAGCCATTCGAGATCAGATGTGCCGTTTTCCACTACGGTATAAGCAGCTGTATCGGCCATTGGAGTCGGCATTTCCATAGCTTTAGCCGACCTGTACAATTTTTGTATGTTGGACATAGATTTAAATGGCGTTCGAGAATTGGACGTTGTCTCTTGCGGAGGACTCGCTATCAGATCGTCCATGTTCATTTCATCGTCACCTTCATCACTGGCCGAGGCCAGTGTTGTACACGCGAAAACGCAACAACACGCCACTACAAAGACGCGGGTGGCCATCGTGATGGTTGTATCGCGGACACCCGAACACTTATGCGGCCACTAAAACGGCGAGCACGCGCCCTCAGCCGACCCCACCGAACCGAAAGCGAAAAATTACAAAAGTAGTGGTATCTATACTATTAGTAGACTATAATAAGCAGTAGAGCGGTAGTAATAATAGTAAACCCGATACGAAGCACCTTTCACCTTAGCCAACGCCACCACTGTGTGAAAGTGAAAACCCAGGATGACCGGTTGTTTGGTCAGTGCTTGTACTAGATGACCACTACCGCGTCTTCAAATTCGACCAATGGGAATTTTCCAAATTTTGCCATCCTACTAGAAATTAAGTTAACTTAACCAGTTTAAAAAAACATCAAAATAATGCATTTAATTCATAATTTATTTTATTATACATTAATATATTAACTTAGAAACAAAAATATTACATTACATTATACACAATTTTTTTATAAAATGAAATTTCTTCTTAATTGTGATTGAAACATATTAATTGATCTACCCATATTACTATCTGGATTTCAAAAAAATCAATTTTAGAAAGCAACGGTAGAAAAAACATAAATATAAAACTAATTCTTTTACAGATTCGCATCAAAGCTAAAATATTTTTTCATCTAAGATAACTCTAAAAAATATTCAATATGAGTTGAAATACAAGTCCTATTAATCAGTTATAACAATTAATTTTTATATTTACCAATTAAATTTAATATCCAGTATAACTGAATACATGTTAAAGGTATAGTATTTGAATTTTATATAAACTTTTTATTTGCAAAAAATTAAAATGTATGTTTAAAGTGAAAAATAGAAATAGTGGCATTTATATTAAGATAAAAATGAATTTTAATACTAAAATTGTAATATATGCATAAGTTTAAAACTTAATCATCAAAATTAAAATATTGCAGATAACGAAAACTAATATTAATTTTGTTGGTTATGATTATATTTTGTATATATTATTTATTAAGGAAACTTAATTAATTAAACTTATACATAATAATCAGTTAATAGTTTTATAAAAAACGTAGTATTGAAAGCGATATCGTTGATTGAATGTAAAACAACACTCTTCTTCTTCATCATCGCCTTAATCCCAACTACTACTAAGACACCCTTATCCTAAACTTCCACTTAACACGATCTCCCACATCATCTACGTTCACATCAGCTGTCTTCATATCGCATTCAATAGCATCCTACCATCACTTTTTTGATCTTCCTCTATCTCTTCTTCCTTCAACATTCATTTCTATAACTGTTAAAGATTCCAATTCTTCTCTCCTCATAACATGACCAAACCATCTAAGTCTATTTTCTCTCATCTAATCCTACACCTAGATGCTACACCTATACTCCCTCTTATATGCTCGTTCCTTATCCTATCTTTTCTAGTCACTACACTCATCCATCTAAGCATTCTCATCTCTGCTACACTTATTCTCTGCTCTACTTTCTTATCAACCGCCCAATACTATGAACCATACATAATAGCTGGCCTCACTACAGTCTTGTAGAATTTATCTTTCAGCCTCATTGGAATTCTTTAATCACATAAGACGCTAGACGCTTCTCTCCACTTCAACCACCCGCACTTAAACCTGTGTCTTACATCCTCGTCAATACCACCGCTCTTTTACACAAGATAAATGTACACACTAAATACTTAAAACTTTTCACCTCTCCAATCACATCCTTGCCATTGTCACTGATCTCCTCATTTCACCTACTTCGTGTTCTCCTTTGTCAAACTCGTACTCAATATACTCTTACTTACTTCTACTTATTCTTAAACCCTTTTTTTCAAGAGCTGATCTCCACACCTCTAGCCTTTGATTAATTGCCTCCCTATTTTCTCTTATTGACACTATATTGTCAGCAAACAACATATACCAAGGCACTTATCCTTGTATTTCTCTAGTAATTACAAGTACCATCATACAAATCTTCTATTATATTAATGTATTTTTTCGGGACTCCTTTTCTCATTAATGCCCACTTTAAAATCTCTCTCGTTACTCTATCATATGCTTGCTCCAAATCAATGAGTACCATACACAGCTTTTTCTTTTCTCCCCTAAAATTTTTTATTAGTTGCCTCAGACAGAATACTGGCTCCATTGTTGACTTACCAGGCATAAATTCAAACTGGTTTTTAGATACCGATGTCTCATTTCTTATTCTCTTATCCATTACCTTTTTCTAAATTTTCATACAATGACGGCACCACAATACTATTCCTCCATTCATTTGGAATTTTCCCAATTTTGGTCATAGGTAAAAAAACACTACAATTCTAAATTATTTAGGCATTAAGCTTCTAAAAAATATTTGAATTTTTGACTATCTTTCTATCAATTGTCAAAAATATTATAAATTTATTAATAACTACCATAACTTTCTAATATATTTAAAAGTAATGATGTAATAAAATGAAATTCTTTATTAATTTTTATAAAAAAAAATTTGATAAAACTATATAGTGTATAGGGGTTTATAGTGGATTTACATAAATACTGCACCAACCCCAGTCATAATTTAATAAAATTATATAAAATTAACTTTTTTTTATCATAATTTGAAGCGGCTTTGTTAAAGGTTCCAATGGTTTTTGAACAAACATAATTTTAGCACCTTCAGCATTTTTGCTTTAGTTTCGCACATGTGGATTCATTGTTATTAACTTGTAATATAATAATTATAAAAATAATATTAAATTAATTCTTTTTTTTTATTCAGAAAACGGCTAATATTAAGTAATATATAAAATATATTTACGGAAAAATTATTTTCAGAGTTTGGAAAATATTTAAAACATCATTTAATAGATACAAATCACTACATCTTTAGTATGTAACCACGTCATCATTGTTTTAAAATTACATTGTTATTATTCTAAAAAACAATAAGACAAACATCAGCATTATAGTGATTATATTCTCATGGAGCAATGAAACTGGCAATGTAGGTGATGTTTAATTTATTATACTTCATACGCTAAATAATAGTTAAAATAATTAAACGATGTTAATTTACAATTCTGTTTCATATAAAAGAAGTAAACATAAGTATAATTCATTGAATAGGTATACTAAAACAATTACTTTCTTTGAGAGTGGAGGTCAAGGACACGCCACGTAAAAGAGCAATATTAATTGTGAGATATTGAACAACCGACTGAAAATATAGTATCATTACATTTTTTAAATAAATAAACATAAAAAATTGTTTTTTCAAACTTTAAAACATATTTCTAAACAATAAATTCAATTAATACGTTGTATAGCTATAATATGATTTTCTACAATTTTTGAGGCAACGCCACCTCTGAGTTACCCCTACGGTGGGTTCCAAATAATCTTACTAAAATATATTGCAGAAAATATTTTTTGTAAAAACTTAAACTATTATTTGTTGTTGTTATATTTTTTTGATTTTAGAAAAATGTATAGTACATTAAAAATTTTTTTTTTATTTCACACGTAAATCGAATGTTTAACAGGTATAGATATAATAAATAGTTAATAGTAGGAAGTAAAGTGTAAAACATTTGTTATAATAACAGAAATATCATAGAGGTACTATAGTTAATTAAATAAATTCCAACATTTGGCTGAGATTTATGAGAATAGATAGATAATTAATTAATTAAATGAGAGTTTAAATTTGATTCAAAAGTAATTATATTTAAAATGAAAATTAATATTATTTTCATTTCTATCCACTAATTTTTGCTAAGTTGTTTAATATGGTAAAAGTACTTTTATTATTAATGTTAAATACAATGTAAAATTAAATTCGTGTTTTATAATTAAGTATTATGTATTATTTATTCATTTATACTTAATTTGGCCTGTAAAATTAATACGTACATAATAAAAGGTAAATACTTTCAGTTATAACGTGAAAAGTCACAAAACTTCACGTAAAAATAAAACCACTGACCACATCACTTTCTCGAATTTATTGATATTAATTATATATTTTAGAAATAGAGAATTAGAAAAAATATTATTCAAGAATGTTTTTTAAGAATTTTTTTCAATGTTTATTATAAAGATACAACACTGTTATTAACTGTAATAGCTTATTTGATTTAATGTGTAAAACAATTATTTAGCTTCAAAAATTAAACGGCAGTTACATTTTTATTAATTAAAATTTTAAATAAAAAACTGCATATCAATGTAGTAAAATAGACTTATTACTAAATTAAACTTGCACATAAATGTGGTAAAGGTATATCAGAAGAAGGTTTACGTTTCATACGTGGTATGTGGTATTTGTTATCATGTTTCTTTATACGTTAACGCACAAATGGTTTGTTTTTAAAAAACAATAACATTTGAATATTACATTTTAAGAATGTGGGTTCTTTACTTAATCGAATGTTGTGATTTATTTAATTAATTTTATTGTAGAATGTTATTTTAATTAAACATTTTTATTTTTATAATTTCTACATAGTTTATATAGAAATATGGATTCCGAATGGATTTGCACACAGGCTATTAGTATCGAAGAAACAACTAATGACAATTATTCTGTAACAAATGTTTGTACAATAATATTTGAAAATTATAGTCATAATAAGAAAATAAATTAAAGTTATTTATGAATGGTTTTAAAATATTTTAGTTTGGTTGTATTATTCTCAATAACAACAAAGAAAACGAGAAGTATATTTTGCAAGAAGGTGATAATACTATTGGAAGATATCCCTCAAATAGCATATATATTGAACACCCAGTAATAATATTATATTAAAGTCCTAATATTCTTTAAAAATTTCAACAGTAGGTTGAAATAATGTTTTTATATAACTAATAAATTTATAATTAATATTTAGTCTGTATCAATGTATCATGCTGTCATTCAATGTGATTCTGATGGAGTAGTATTATTAGATAAAGGTAGCTTGAACAAGACCAAACTTAATCAAGTATGATTTTTTTTTAATTTAATATAAATGTCTTTAATTGCAACTTTTTTAAATATTTATTTGTAGTTAATTTATTTTTTTTTCCAGAAAAATTTGAAAAAAAATGTTGCATATTTTCTGGATGAGGATTCTTTAATAACTTTTGGAGATGTTCAAGCCCATTATTATATTAATAGTGAGCATATTCATATTAACAATGAAAAAAATAAGTGTATGTTGAATTTATTATTATATACAGTTTATGTTAAAAGCCTATAAGATTATAAATTATTTTTGATAATAATATTCTAGGTCCCAAAGAGAAAGTTGAAATTAAGGAAGATGATGTAAATAGTATTGTTACTATTGAGCAAAATAATTTAATGAAATTAAAATGTATTACATCTAAAAATTCATCAAATGTTTCATATAGTACTGAAATTATCAAAGAACATTCTCTTCAAAATTCATTATCAAGTACTATTATCAATAAATCAAGTTCTAGTGATGCTTTTGGTCAAACAGAATCTAACAAAAATAATAATTTATGCTCAACATTTCAAAGTTGTTTTGATAAAGAAGACACCCCTAGTCCAGTTATGGATTTGAAGGGTCCACTTTCTGATTCATATAGTATTTGTTTGATGAATAAAGATAATTCATTTGTAGATGAAAAAAATATTTTGAATAATGATGTAAATGATGATTCATTGAAATCAAATACAGAAACATTACGAGAAGAAACACCAAGTCCTACTATGGATTTGGGACTATTTGTCAATTATAATATTAGTACTCAATTAGGACTTGACCAAATTAATGTATCTAATAATCAAGTAAATATTTATAATGAAGAAACACAGCTTTTTGAAATTGATAAAAATTTTAGACATCAACCATTAAATGTAGTAAATTATGCAGGAGTAAAGGAAAATAAACTAGAAAATCTAGAAATATCAAAAGAATTGGTTATTCAGAAATCAGAAGGTAATGAACAACTAAAAAACTCAAATATAATTAGTCAACAAGACATAAAAGTTTCTGAGTTAGATGACGATTTCTTTGACTGTCCTACTCAAAAAATTGAGCTATTAAAAGTATCAAGTAATAATGTTACTGAAGAGTATAATGAAAATGATAACCAGACAAAGGATTCAATTAATAATTTAGAGTCACTGGGTGAAGACACTCAGATTTTCATCGATCTAGATTTTAATACTGTTGAAACTAATAAAACTGTAAACTTACAAAACATAAAACATTTTAGTGATACAGAATATAAAAATGCTAAAGATTCAAACTTAACACTATCAAATATACTACAAACTAAAAAAAAAGAGAACAGTTTATTTAAAAAACCAAGTTTAGTTAGTCTAAATGAATTGGAAACCCAGATATCTTCCTCAAAAAATGATTTTTTTGATTGTTCTAAAAAAAAAGTTGTCTTATCTCAAACAACAAATACAAATTTGAATATTACACATGCAAAAAATAACTGTTTAGCCATTGATAAAAATAATTTTAATGTAGCTGAAAAACAATTACCACAAAACAATAATTATTCAGATCATTCTACTCAAAAGGTTGTTTTTTTTAAAACTCCTCAAGCACCTATGAAATCAATTTCTAAATGTTATGTAAATATTTTAAATAAATCTGATAATTTACAAAAAAATGAAAGTAATATGTTAAATGAGGTGGATACTCAATTATTATCTGAATTAAATAATGATTTCTTTGATTGTCCAACACAAAAATTAAATAATAAAATTGAATATAAAGAAATAAAAAATAATGAAATTGGTGACAATGAAAACATACAAGACAATTATTTTGATTGTCCTACACAAAAATTAAATGTAGTGTCTGATAATAATAAATGTTTAAACAAGTTGGATAATAATCATGTCAAACCTGATATGTTGTATCAAAATACAACTACAAAAATTAATTTAAATGTTAAAAACTCTTCTAATAATTTATTTGCAAGTCAAACAGATAATCAAAAACAAAGTTCAACTAAAAATTTTATAAATACTTTTGAAGCAGATGATGATGATATTTTCAATTGTTTAACTCAACAAATTATTAAACCTTCAAGAGGTAATAATACTTTTAATAAAGAAAACAAATTAATGAAGCAGGAATTGCCCATAAATAATTTAAATATGAATCAAAACAATAGTATTGAGGAAATTGTTAATAAGTCAAAAGTTGTTGAAATAGATTTAAGTGAAGATTTTTTCAATTGTCCTACTCAGAAAATATCTTCACATCCTAAGTATCTTAATCAAGAGAACATTCTATTGAACAATATTTATGAAGAAGAAACTGAAATTTTTGAATGTATACAAAGAAAAACGATAAAAAAGAATGTTGTGACTTTTAGTAATAATGATGAAATTCATAATATAACTGGAATTAATTCAAATAAAATAAATAATGATGATTTCTTTAATTGTCCAACACAAAAAATTTCTACATCATTTTCTAAAAACTCAACCAAAAAATCAGTAACGGATATAAATGAAGAAGAAACACAAGTTATATCAGGCATAATTAAACCTCATAAAGAAGTTCAAGTTGTTTCTAATAATACTATTGATAATAGTATTGAAATAGAAACACAACTTTTCAACGAACAAGATGATGATTTCTTTAATTGTCCAACACAAAAAATTTCTACATCATTTTCTAAAAACTCAACCAAAAAATCAGTAACGGATATAAATGAAGAAGAAACACAAGTTATACCTGGCTTAATTGAACCTCATAAAGAAGTTCAAGTTGTTTCTAATAATACTATTGATATTAGTAATGAAATAGAAACACAACTTTTCAATGAACAAGATGATGATTTCTTTAATTGTCCAACACAAAAAATTTCTACATCATTTTCTAAAAACTCAACCAAAAAATCAGTAACGGATATAAATGAAGAAGAAACACAAGTTATACCTGGCTTAATTGAACCTCATAAAGAAGTTCAAGTTGTTTCTAATAATACTATTGATATTAGTAATGAAATAGAAACACAACTTTTCAATGAACAAGATGATGATTTCTTTAATTGTCCAACACAAAAAATTCCTACATCAGTTTCTCACAATTCTACCAAAAATATAAATGAAAACGAAACAGAAGTAATTACACATTTAATTAAATCTAATAAAGTAGGTACAGTTGTTTCTAATAATACTATTGATAATAGTAATGAAATAGAAACACAACTTTTCAACGAACAAGATGATGATTTCTTTAATTGTCCAACACAAAAAATTCCTACATCAGTTTCTCAAAACTCAACCAAAAAAGCGCTAACAGATATTAATGAAGAAGAAGCACAAGTTATACCATGCTTAATTAAACCTTATAAAGTAGGTACAGTTGTTTCTAATAATACTATAGATATTATTAATGGAGGAGAAACAAACAATTTTTGTTCATCTAATTTAGATATCACTGTAAAGTTAACCAGTAATATTTCTGATTTTCCAATGAGAGACAAAGAAGAATTTTATAATTGTTCCACGCAGAAACTCTCTCATGATTTATTAACCAATAAAGATCTTGCAATTGTAAAAAGTGATTTAATTAATATTAAAAAAACTAAAGATAAAAAAACCAGTATTTCTAAACTAGATACTTATACGTTTGTAAATAAAAAAATTGAATCCTTTTTTGATTGTCACACACAAAAAATTATTGCTAATGAAAATAGTAAAGTAGTTTTAAACTCAAGAAATATGAACAGCGGTGAAACTCAATATTTTCACATGAATAATGAAGACCTTAATTCTAATAAATTTTCCCCTAATATAAAAAATAGTAATGATAATTCATCTCACAATAAAAATATGAATTCTTATAATGAAGATTATCAAAAAGTTTTAATGAAAAATAAGGAAACAGAAATGTCTAAAGTAAATGTCAAACCTTCAATTCGTATAAGAAGTGATTTACATAATACAAATAATTTTAATAGATCAAATGTTCATGAAATAACTCGAGATGTCATTAATAGTGATGCCAATTTAAAAAATGAAAAATTGCATTCTCCTAGACGGTCTAAAAGAATACTTGTTGGGAGGAATAGTAGTAGTTATTCAATAAACAATATTAGTATAAAACAAGAGCCAATTTTTGATAATGAAAATTGTTTAAACAAATCAAATAGAAAATTTCCTTTAAAAAATACACTTTACTTGAAACAAATGGATGAAACAATTTATAGTCCTTTAAATTTGCTAAACTCAAACTATGATATATTAAATTCTGCTCAGAATGCTAATACTCATTTAGATTTACCTCCTTGTAAACCATCTACTTCTAGTGACGCTGTCAAATGGCAATCATTTTGGAATAAAAAGAAAAACTTATCTGTAGAAAACAAAAATAATTGCAAAATGTTAATTAATAGTAAAATTAATAACAATGACACTATAAACAAAAAAGAAAGGTATCAGACAAGAGCTGTTACTAAGAAAGAAAATTATGAAGATGTTAGTAGAAAAAGAAAGTTAAACATTTCTGTTGAAGAAAATAATAAAAGGATATGCGATGATAGAAGAAAAAGTGAAACAAGTGTTTTAGTAAGTAACTAATTGACATATAGATCAGGCTTTTAGATAATAAAAAAAGGCTCTTGTCGATTTAATCAAATAATTAGTATAAAGATTCTTGAACATTATATTCAGTTTGTTAAGGTATGAATGTTAGGAATTGAAGCCAACATAGTCCTTTTTTTTTTTTTTTTTTTTTAACTTAGGTGTAATTTTTATCAGAATAACAAAATGTAATTTTTTATCTGATAATTAGGAAACAAAATAACTTTTTTTTTTTAATAGCTTTATTTAAAAAATAAACTAAATTAGCTATGTTTGAAATTTTTAATAAAATTATTTATAACTCATTAATCATATAAAAAGCATGGGCTAAATTTTTCTTTGTTTATCACTAAATCAGTTTGTCAATATATAAATAAATTTATATTCTTTCATGAATGCAATGTTGAAATATGTTCCATTTACTATACTTAAATTACAAGTGTTATTATTTCTGACTAATGCCATCTGGCTTAATATAAATTTTCTGTTAGTAAAGACTGTTTGAGACAAAAAAAAAAAAAAAGATTTAATTTTCATTATTTGGAATTTAGATTAAGAAATCAAAAGATGTCATTGTGATGTTTAGTTTTCTGAGAAATCTTCAATCTATGAAATATTTTGTTGAAAAAACTGGTGAGAAATATTAATATGATACTATTATAATCTTACTTGTTATATTTTATATTCAAAAATTCAAACTTTTTACTATTATTTAGGGGGTTGTGTTACTGATGACATAACTCAGTGCTCAATACTAGTGACAGACAAAATACGTTGTACCATGAAAATACTATCAGCTATTGCACGAGGGGTGCCAGTTGTTACTGCCAATTGGCTTAAACATTCATATACAGTTAAAATGTTTCAAGGTATTTCACAAGGTATAACAAAAATTATGTCGTAGTTTTTTAATGAAAATAATTATATTTTTACAGATGTGGATGAATTTATTGTTGTGGATAACGATGCTGAAAGAAAATATAATTTCCAATTAAAAGAATCTTTAACAAAAGCGAGGAATTGTGGTCTTTTAACAGGATACACTGTTTTAGTTACACCTTCAGTAAAACCAGGACCTAGAGATATGAAAAGTAATTGATATATATATATATTTTTTTTCAATATTGAAATCTCTTTTTATTAGCTATCATTTCATGTGCTGGGGGCAATTTTGTCCTTAATTGGCCAAAGACAATCACTGATAAAGCACTAATAGTAACTTGTGATAATGATCGCCAGCATTGGAAATCTGTATGGGACTATAACAAAGCTTCAATAATAGATGGTGATACATTAGTGACATCTATAATCAGACAAAAACTTAATTTTTAATTCTTAAATTAAGACATTTTTATGTATTTGTTAGTTATTAACTCAAATCTAATTTAACAATCATCACATTATTCTGAATAGTAATGTTAAGATAATTTATTAGTGACAAACCTAGTTACCTATTTTATTTTAAATGTACCTGAGAGCAAACACTAAAAAATATAACAATAAATTATTCTCATAATTTCATTATAAATAAATGACATGTTTATTGTAAATCAAAATATAATTGATTTTCTAAATTATTGTGTACATTATATTTATACTAATATAATTTTAAAATATCTTCATGAAGCTTTTAAAGTTAAGGAGAATAAAACAAAATACTTGTATTAACAACATAAGTTTTATATAATCAATTTATAATTTATATTAAATATGTTATTTTATTTCAATATCACAATTTTAGTTATGAAGTGATTCCATACCTATGTAAATAGAAATATTTTTAATGCATTAAAAATATTACATAATCTCTAATTATATTTATACAAAAAACAAGTATAGTATTTGATACTAAGGCTAAATTTATTCTGGCAATGAACATGGGTTATGTTTACTACAATTAGACAATACATAAAAAAATTAAAAAAAAAAGATATCAAGAAAAATAAATTAAGTGAGCATTTCAATTAACAATTTCCAAGAAAATCATCTTATAAACACCATAGGAATAAATTGTTCATACTAAAATTTAATAAAATAGACTTATTTGATCTTTTCAAATATATTTTAAAGAATTTTAAGTTAAAATTATAATAAGACAAGTCACTAAGTATTAAGTAAATAAAATGATTTCACATAAAAGGAATGTTGTGTTGGAATAAACGATTATGAATCTTTATGATTTAAAAAAATTATGTAACTTACTGAAAATTGGAACATTATTAAAAAAATTAAAAATTAATATACTTATTTATTTTACAATAATGATGAAGTTTCAAAATTTTGTTTCTTTGTGCAAAATGAATTAATTTTCACTATATTAATTTTACAATGAAAGATAATTTTTAAAATAAAAATTCTAACAAAAAAATATTAATATTGTATTAAAAAAAATGAATAATTTATAAACATGTACATAATTATAGTTAAAATTATGTTTTAAAAATTTATAATTAAGAGATGGAAGTTGTCAAAAAAAAAAAAAAAAAAGTTATACATAATATATATAAGTAAAATATATTTAATCATAACACTTATATTTTCAGTGTTTTATCTTTATTTAATTATTTATCTTTAATGAGTAGGCAGATAAAAATTAAAATTTAATAATAAAATATTATGTTTATTAAATTATTAGTTTCACATGTAAAAAGAGGGATTGAAATTTTTATACCTATTAATCTGGAACTATTGCGCAAATTATATAGACCATACTTACACAAAATAAAAATACTAAGTATAAAAAAATCTGTTTTTTTTTTTAATTACAAGCCTGAAAATATTATATCTTACACTATTTACAAAATTTCATGATATAACTGGTTTAAAATTTAAACTTACTAAAAATGATTTATCATGTTAGAAAAATTATATACACATTAACTATGAATATAATATATAAATATATACAATTATTAAAGTCAAATAAAAAAGAAGGAAAAAGTTTTAATTTTAAGTTATTTATCTATTATTTGAATTAAAATTTTAATAAATATTTTATATTCATTGTGATATAATTTTATACAGCAAGGATTATTTTTAAATAATTTTGTTTCAAAATTGTTCTCTATAAAATTAATAAAAAATTATTGGTGAATAAATATAACCTATTATAGTAAGAGTGTTACCCTAACAACTATAATCAGTACCATATATTTTATAAAGACTAATTACTATAGTATTTAAATTATCACTGGTTTGTATAAATATAATTTGTTCGTGATTTAAAGTCAAAAGCATTTCAATCAATAACAGTTATAAAAAAAAATCTATAAAAAACCTAGTTAATAAATATTAATAAGTTAAAATTTATCAGTTCTTATTTATCAGGAAACAATGATTCATATGAGGGTGGGAGATCTTTATCCGGTGCTCTAATTTCAGCTCCACTAGCAACTACTGAATCAGGTGGGGCAGAGGCCATAATACCAATATTATCAATATTGGGTACAGGTTGCATTTCTGAAGAATGAGGATGAGGATTAGGAGGACTTAAACAACAAAAAACTGTACCACAATGCCTGAATAGCCATAAGAATGCAATAAAAGCTACAAACATGGTAAACAAGCCAGCAACTGTTCCAGCTAAAATTTTTGTTCCAAATGTTGAATCAAAACGATCACTATTTCCTAAAATACAAAATATAACTATTATTTAATATAATTAATTAATATTTAATTAACTTTATATTACCGTTCAATGTAAATACTGAACGACATCCACCTTCATCTTTGCAGCTTTTATAAGGACAATTGAGTTTACCATCATTAAAAAAGTCTTTATAAATGCATGTTTTTGATCCACAACTTTTCCAAATGTTTGACTCAAATCTACAATCTACAAATAATAATTATAATTCATAAAAAAATTCTACACATCATTTTGAAAGAATTATTGTATAATTTATATCTATTCCATGTCTAACTATTCCTACTTGCCTTGCTGATATGCTGTAAAAACTATTTCAAAGTTCAATTCTTCACCTTCCTCTAAAGATTTATTGCCAATATGTATTACAACTTCAAGTAATCCTCTGTTGTCAATAAATGAATTCATAACTTGTTTATCTTCATTTATTTCTTCACTACTATTACTGTTGAATTCTTCAGCATCAATGCCAACTTCTAATGCATCTATCTTACCACAGATCTTATCACCCCATTTTTCAGATGATTTAATTTTGACATTAAAAATATCAGCAAAACTAATAGTTTTCTCAGCATGTCGAAACTAAGTAATGAATATTTTTTTAATCCACTTTTTATTAGAAGTTAAAATAATTTAATTTATATTTTATACTTGAATGTAGTCAATACATTGCCCTTTGGAATTTCGTCTAAAAGATAAGCGCTGTATGACAGCAAATATACCAAGGCCTAAAGTAGAAGTTACAGTAAAACGACATTTGAATTCACGTTGTCCACTCCAATGATGAAAATATCTACTCTCTTTAATGACCATAGCAGATTGATCTTCACGGCCAATTAAATTCAAATTATTTGAAATAAAACTAATTGAACAAACACTATCATTTTCCAACACTTCTAAAGAATAAATTTTGATTATTATCTTATATATAAAAATAAATGTATGTCCATCTGTCGAGTATATGTTTGTTTTAATATTATGTATTGGCTACAATTAGTGCTATTATTCAAAAATTATTAATTATTAACTATTAATATACAATGTGATTTAAATATTATTTCTTTATTTATTATGTTGTCATAAAAAACATTTTCTTGAAAAAAAAATTTAAAATTTCAGAAAAATATTTTTAAAAGAAATTTATAGACAAGGTAGACCTTGTATTATAACTCATAGAGGGCTAGGTTGAACAGGACTGTACATTGTCTATATTTAGAGAAGGATCAGATATAGGGTTTTTAATTTACTGAGTGCTGGATTCACCATATATTTTATTAATAACATATTAACAATAAAATTATTAATAGTTAAATATTATTATTAATAATTTTATTTTTATTATATTAATTGTATGTAGATTATACATTATATTAATGATAAAAACTTTATTAAAACATTCATTTTTAGTTAATTTACATCATTTATACAACTTATTTTTATAAATAAAAGATTGTCTATTCTAGTTTTCAATAAGTTTACTTATAAAAAAAATTATTTAAATATTTAATTTTAATTAGATATATTTACTATTCATTGTGTATAAAACCAAGGTTAATTTGGAAAAATGATTAAGCATTCTTTGATTTTTTAAAACACAAATTTTATGAGGAAATAATGATGTCCTGTGATCAAAGAAAGATTATTGGTAAAGTTTGAAATTTTATTGTCACTGCATTAAAATTGTGTAAGAACCAGAACATTTTTGAAGTTTTTAATTTGAGTAGGGCCTAATAAAGAAATGATTTTAACATAACCTTAGGACCAAGTTCAGACTGAACTTGATTCAAAAGACTTTCAATTCACTAAGTGTTTAGCCAGGACATACATTTATAGATACAGTAGACCCCCGGTAATCCGGCACCCTTTGTAAACTGACATGTCTATTTTTTTTTTTTTTACAATCTTCGCTAATGTAGATAATGCATGATTAAACAGGTTACAATTGTGCCATCACTATTGTGCTCAAAGTATAGATTCTTTGTTTACTGTTTATTCATTATGTATTACGTATACATACCTAGTAAATTATGTCGTCACAAGCCCAGAAGTGAAAGCACAAAACACTGACAATTAAAAAAAAATGTGATATTTTAGACCGTTTAAATCGTAATGAATCTTTTAGTAGTTTAACAAGTGAATACAGCATAGGCCGATCTACAATTTATGATATTAAAAAAAATCATGAGAAGATTAAAAACTTCGTATCAACTACTGACTGTGGGCCAGACAAGAGACAGACACTCAAGAAAGCTGAATATCTAGAAGTGGAAGAAACTTTGTACATGTGGTTTCTTCAGGAAAGAAATAGGCATGCACCAATTTCGGGACCCATGTTGGCCATGAAAGCTAAGTTTTTTTATAAGGAAATTATAAAAAAAGATGATTTTATGGCTAGCAAGAAATGGTTAGAACGTTTCAAAAGTCGTCATGGTTAATGATTATAACAGGAGAGAAACTTTCTAATGATGCTACCTGCATAGAGCCATTTAAATTAAGATTTTTGCAAAAGGTGAAAGATTTCTTCATCAAAGAAACCCATCAAATGTGTACAATGCAGACAAATCAGGACTTTTTTGGCGTGTGATACTAAACAAAACTTTCGTTTCCTATAACAAAAAATCCGTACCTGAGCGAAAAGTAAATAAAGAGCGTGTAACCATGCTACCATGTGCAAATGCTGCGGGTACACACGTGCTAAAAATGGTGGTCGTTGGAAAATTGAATAAACCACGTGCATTCAAAAACATTGATTTGCCTGTACATTATTATGGTCATAAAAGTGTGTGGATGACAAAAGACCTATTCAAGAAGTGGTTTGATGAATGCTTTGTACCAGAAGTTAATAAATGGTTGAAAAATCATAATTTTCCTCAAAAAGCGTTATTGCTTATTGATAACGCTCCCAGTCATCCGTCTGAAGAAGAACTGACAACTGAAGATAAATGCATCACTGCGATGTTTCTTCCACCAAACTGCACTGCACTGATTCAACCAATGGATCAGCATATCATTCAGGTTGTCAAGCAAGATTATAAGAAAAATCTACTTCTGAGAACTGTATCAAAAGATCAGCCAATAGAAAAAGCTTTAAAAGAATTCAATATGAAAGACTTGATTTTTGCTCTTTGTCAATCGTGGAATGCATTACCTTCGTCAACTATTACATCGTCTTGGAAAAAGTTATGGCCGGATATAGTCACCAGTCCTAGCAATGATCCACAAATCAGTGTAACTTTGGAAGTAATAGAGAAAGTTGCTGCTGAAACACAGATAAGATAGCAAGATTTGGAAATCTGGTACCATGGAATGGATAAGGAGGATAATATTTTTTATGAAATGTCTGATGATGAGATTATAAAAGAGATATCTAGTAATACAACCATAAATCAGGAAGATGACGACGACGTAATTGCAACTACTCCACAAGTGATAGCACAAGATGCAGCTAACGCCTTTAAACTGGGTTTGCAATGGGCTGAGGAGAATGGTGTATCCTACAACGAACTTTTACTTTTAAAAAGACTGAGGGACAGAGCATTGTTCTTGCGTTTCATTAATGTTAAGTAAAAAAAAATTGATAAATATTTTCATGCTTCCTAAATTTATATCATGATTTTTATTCATAATTTTTGACTATTTTAGTATGTACATTTGTTTAAACACAATTACATTGTAATTGTATTCCTTAATGTAAAGTTATTGTTTTTTGTAAGTTCTCTAGCATTAATGACGTTAATTTTATAATAAAACATAAGCTTTCTATTGAGTTGTTTAATTTACTTAAGTCGACATACATAATGAAGCATGATTTGTACTTCACACCAGGGTCTGTCAAGACTAAATCTTATCTTTGAATTTGTGATTTATCGGATTACAAGGTACTCTTTTGTTAAAAGTTCCGGACTATAGGAGGTCTTAGGGAATACTCTATAATCCGAAAAATTCGATAGTTCGACACTGACCTACAAAACGTTTGTTGGATTACCGGGGGTCCACTGTATTTATGTTTTATTACTAAAAAGAATCAACAAATTATGAAGATCTAAGAAAGTTTATCAAAATTATACCAATGAAAGCTGGGTTTCTTTACCAGTTGATGTAAAAAACATTAATATTTGTAACACAAATTCTTAATGATAATTTGTATAATGTTTTTTTTGCAGTAGTAAAAAAACTGAAAAATTAAAAACATCATAAAATGTTTTCAGGTACAGTTTATGTACCTAATGTGTTAAGTATACATTTTTAGACATATTGGTAATTTAAATGTTAATTGTTGTACCAAGCAAACCATCTTTAAAAATAATAACTGTTTTAGGTTAATACTTTAAGAATAATTATATTTCTTTTAATCAATCAATAGGAGACATATAAACACTAATCAAGATAACTGAGTCATTAAGATGACTAATACCAATTTACTTGAGACAGTGACTAACATAGGATTGGTAATAATCTACTAATAACAAGTTATTTTTACAAGTCAAGTAAATGAAAGACATTTAAACAAAAAGGTCTCAATTATAGGTGTATAATGAAGCTTCATACAAATAACTTATAATCAATGTCAACTAAAAATAGTATCTAAAAAAAATTTTTTTTCAAATATAAAAAATTATTTCTTGAAAATTTAATTTAAATAACCTGTTTTTAAAAAAAATACTTTGCCAAAGGTATTTAAAAGAATTAATTGGTAGAATTTAGTACATCTTTCATAAAATATCATTAAGTTTAGTCTAGATGACTACATCATAGTAATTAATAGTATAATAATTATACTATTAATTATAATATAATTATTATATGTCAATTATGACTATTGATACAGTAAAAGTTGAAAAGTTAACAATACTGCAGTCCTATCTTAGATGTAGTGAATAAGGGCGTGACATATGGAAGGAATAGGAATACTTTGTAAGGAACTTTTGATCATAAAAATGTCACTACTATACGTTGAAGAAAAAGTACTACTTACTGTAAATATAAGCCGTGGAATGGTTGAAATACAACAAAATCATTAACAAATTTATGAGAATTAAACGCATTGTAAATATCAGTTGAATTTAGCAGTAATTTTTAAAATTAATTTTTAATGTATGATAAACGTCATTGCATAACTGTTAATTAAAATAGAGTTTTAATTAAAATAAAAAAATTATTGAACTTATTAAACCAACTAAAAAAATAGTTATACAATATTCTTAATACTTAATGTTAAGAACGTCACCGATTGTCAAAATATAAACAATAATTTATACAGGACATGAAATATGATACAATATTATGATATTAACTCATCTGCAAAGTGATTATCTAATCACTTCACTTTTTGCTCTACCAGTGTTAACTAAATCCATTGTCAATATAAAAAATATATATTGTTCTGTTGTAAAGCAGTAATAATGGCTACACTGCAAATTCGTATTAAATCAATTGAAATTACCACCGCCATTATATGAATACAGTTATTCACTACTACACATACTTTAATAGCAATAGAGAATAAATTGAATATCTTTCAAAAATGTGTATTATAAATAATTATTTTTGATATAATTGATAAATATTCAATAAAAATACACTCAAAATAAAGTGCGATTTTTTTTATACAAAAATAACAAAATGTAGGTTGGGGAAAAAATCAGTTTAGCCTCCCCAAATGCTATCATTAACTTGCACTAATGGCACATTTAAAAAAATATTACTACTTTTATGTCAATCTAACGTATATATTAAAAATATAAACAATAGTGAATAGAAATTTCGTAACATTTCATACAGAGGATTTTATAAAAAACGTAAACTCACAAATTAATCTTGTAAAAATTGTGAAATAATTTTAATACATGCACGAACTTATACTTTTCATAAGCTCTTATATACTTTTGTTTGCAGATTTCTATTCAATTGGTCATAATTAACTTAAGTGTGATACAAAATAAATAAATAAATTCGCGAAACGTTACTACTACCGTGGTTTATAAGGGTATAGAAATATTAAAGAGTAAATATTTCGGATAACCATAAAACGTAAGACCTATCACATAATTCAGGACAAACGGCTAAACTATTAGTAATTCAATATCAATTAAATGTTTAATACTATAATAAAATATATTTAATTATGACTTATTTATATGATTCGATTATTGAGTTCGTAAAGATGATTATGTCCAAGAAAAAATAAAATAAAATATGTGAGTAAACAATATACATATTAAATAGTAAACCACTTAAATATATCATTGGCTTTGTTGCGGAAACTTATTTACGGTTATTTTTGTAACTTTTTTTAAAATTTATATATTGTTGTCATTTAATGTATTATTGCGTGATTATTTTTCAATAAAAACAATATTAAAGTTCAAAAATAACATTATAAAAATATATTTGTACATCAACGATGATAATAAAAAAAGAAAAAAAATTACAAAACTAATCGTCGATGAGTTTCCTTATCAAGCCGACAATATTTTAGTATAAATGTTAACACAATAAAAATTAACTTAAAAATATTGATAGAAAGACTTATATCAATATTTATAGTTAATAAAATATAATTTAAGGTATTTTCGATCTAACCTATTATTTTATTTTTAATTAACTATTTAATTTAAATAAATTATGCTCATTGACATTTGTAATGAATTTATTTACTATTGAAAAATAATATTCACAAAATAAATAATTTTTAATAAAATATTGATAAGAAATTTAAAATAAAAATATTACAAAACATAGCTAAATGATTTCTGGTATTGTTTTAACAGTTGAGGGAATTGTATCTTCTATGATTTTACCAGCTTCTAGGATAAGTACACGATCATAGTCTAATATTGTTGATAATCTATGCTAAATTTTAAATAATTATATATTAGTTTTTCCATTGTTGTATTATAATGTTATTCTCTTTACCGCAATAGTTATAACTGTTCGACCTTGAAATGAATTTTTTATAGCTTCCAGTAGTTTCTTTTCTGTCTCATCATCTATAGAACTTGTTGGTTCATCCATTATCAAACAAACGTTATCTTGCAAAATTGCTCTGGCTAAACATAATAATTGTTTTTGACCGCTACTTAAATTGTCGCCAGAACTTCCTATTAATCCATCTATAAAAGACAAAAATTAGTATCTATAATTTTATATGATGTTATTATTGTGTTACCTAATCCACCTAATTGAAGTAGTACAGTATCTTCCATTTGAGTCATTCTCAAACAACTCCAAATTTCATTGTCGGAAAACTCATTTTTTAAGTCTAAATTCTGTCTAATCGTACCACTAAACATTCGTACATCTTGGGGTATTACAGAAATTCGAGATCTTAAAGTCTGTAAAGGCACATTATTTATGTCAATGTCATCAATCGTTATGATTCCGTCGCGGATCGGTACCATATTTAGTATGCTCATTACTAGAGATGATTTACCACTGCCTGTACGGCCACAAATTCCTACCTTATAAAAATAATAATACAATATAAAAATCAATTAGAATAATTTCAATAACTATATTAAAAATTTAACGACATATTACTTTCTGCCCCGGTGGAATATGTAAACTCACGTTGCTTATGACATGTTCTTGATTTTCATCATATTTTACCGATACATTGTCTAATATAATAGACCCTTTAGATGGCCAAGCTCTAGTAATTACAGCTAAAGAAATTCTTGATATAAGCTATTGTTAGAGAATTTTATTTAACCTACACATACCTTCCTTTCTATAGTTTTCACTTGGTATAGTAGCAAATTCTTCTGTTCGTTCTACCGCACTCATATAAGTTTCTAAATCGGCAAAAAATTTTACTACCCAATTCAAATATACGGGAACTAATAATGTGTAGTTAATAGCTAATCCGACCATTGCTGAAGATATAGAAGATGAAAACAAAGTTGTTGTAATTAAAGCTACCATAGTCGCTACAAATACTATAACGCCTCCTAAATAATCCTGAAGTAAAGTTCAATTGAAGTGTTACATATATTTTTTAATTTAGTTAAAACATTTACTAGTGCTATTCCAAGCCATCTGTTGGACGAGCTAATTATCAAAAATACTTTTGTATGATTATCTATCCTGTTTATCATTTCTGACATAAACCATGCTTGTTTATCAAAAGCTCTGATTGTTTCTAACCCAGAAATAGATTCATTGCAATGGACAACCATAGGTGATCGTAAATTGCTTTCCAATTTTTGCAAATCTCTAAGTGAAAGAAATGTTATTAATTATGTGGCGAGGAAAAGAGTTTAGAAAGTTTACTTTGATGAGCATCGGTAGAACTTTTGAACTGTATAATATACAAGACAAATAGGAACAACAATTATAAGAAACCAAGGTGTTATGATAGCATTTACTACTACACCACATAAACACAAAAAAACAAAATGTACTAAACGTTGCATAGATGTACCGATTTTCTATATGGAAAATAAAATATATTAGTTAACTCGATTCTTCAAGCTATATTATGTTAAATATAAGAAGTACTAAAACTAAGTTCATTGGGTAATTTACTGAGTTACACTTATTATAATTTTTTAGTATGTACCTTATCTATAATAATTAAATCATTCGAAAAACAGTTGTCAATTCTTCCAATCGGCGTTGCGTCAAAAAACGACAAAGGGCTCAGAATAATATTACTCAACATTCTTTGATGTATAAGTTTTCGAGCTTTTAAGGCCCCATATTGACCTAATGTGTTAGATAATGCGGATAGTATTATAGATATGAAACATAAAAAACTATAACCTGTTAAGTACCAAAAAGCCTAAAAATTATTTAATTAATTAAATAATTAATTAATTAATGGTAAAATGATTTAATACTTGTATTTCATGAGAAAATTCTATATAAGTCCAACAACTCAACCAGTAATCTACAAAAACTCTTGATGTTTGCCACGCAACTGTTAATATTATGTAAAATATGTATGTTGTCCAACCACTCCAAGATATGTATTTTAAGTACGTTTTCATAGAAACAGAATTGTATATGAATTCATCTTTTAAGCGACCGCGATCATATTTCAGTTCTTAAAATCATATTCAATAAAATTTATTAATTTAAATAGTATTTTAACCATATTAACTTACCTGATATTTCTTCATTACTTATGTCAGATATGGATAATGTTGTTTTTTTCAGTAAAAATTCTTCTGGTAGTTTTATTTCTCCATCAGTTCTAATTTATAAAAAATAAAACTTACATTATCATTTTTTATTCTATTTTAAAATTACCTAGTTTTCCGTTTGATACTGTATTGCAATAATCTACTAAAACGATTATTTTCGTGGGAATTTCTATAACAAAATAATTAAAAAACTTTAGTTTTTATAAAGTATAATGGCATTAGAATATATACCCTAAAGATGACAAAATGTGTCGTCTAAGACTTCTTTGGGGATGTTTTTCATTTGGATAATTTCGGTATTTTATACTCGAATGAAAACTGACAGCTGGTTGATTTACCAATGATTCATCAATAAAAGGATTTCTTCGTGGAAGTTGAATATCAGCTATGGTAGCTGATCGTTCTCGTTTTTTGTTTGATGAGAGCCAGTGATTTCTTTCGACAATTGAATCAGTGTCACCACATTCGTCGGTTGGAAGTAAAAGATCGTGAGTTAAGTATCTTGATCCGTACAAAGCGCCAAAATTTTTTTTTGATTTCAATTTCTAAAAAAAAAAAAAACAAAATTGTTAACAAATATGTTACAAAATAAATATTTTATAAGTTACTATTGTTTTACCTTGTGCTGATTTGGTGGCCAATTCCGATATAATTGATTACCTATTTTACTCACAAGTTTAAACAACTTCCATCTCTCAGAAGCTGTTCGACGTGTATGTTCTTGATTTTCCATTGAAGTAATCATATGATGAACACCCCTAGTTTCTAAATCAGCCAAGTTACCAAAAAAATTTACTTTACCTGAATCCATCAATACTACCTAGAATTAAATTTTTATAAATTATTTAATAAATTTTTTGTTTATTTAAAAGTAACACAATTAACCGTATCGGCATATGAGAGATCATTTGCAAAACTTGTAGTCATAATTACTGTTTTTGTTTGATTTAATGTTGATTTTTTTATTCCATTAAACATAACATGTTGACTAACTTCGCTATCCAGTGCTGACAATGGATTATCCTACAAATAAATAGGAGTAAACTAATGATTTTTTAGTTCAACTTGACAATTTCAGTAGTTATCTACCATTAAAATAATGTTTGCTTTTGAATACAAAGCTCTAGCTATTGTCACTCTTTGTTGTTGGCCACCACTAAGGGCTATTCCTCGTTCTCCTATCATTGTCATTTCTTTGTCGGGTAGTATATCTATGTCTGGTCCGAGAGCACATGCTTCTATAACCCTTTTAAACCTAGATTTATTATATTTATCTCCGAATACAATATTTTCAACAACTGATGCATTTAGTAACCAAGTTTTTTGTGAGACATATGCTATATTATATCCTTTTTTGAAGTCTACTTCTCCAAATAAACAGTTCATTTCTCCAAGCAAAGCTTGCAGTAATGAAGTTTTTCCACTACCAACTTTTCCCGTTACAATAGTCAATTTTCCTGGCAAATGTTTATAATCTAGTAAAGAATAAGTAATAATATTTGGAATTATTTTTTTTAAACGAGTACCTTCTTCAATGTTTAAATAATCCACTATAAGAGATGGGACTTTTGAATTAGGCCAAGAAAAAGAAGCATCCCTTATCGTTATACAATTATCAATTTCTGTTTCTTGTTTATTTTTTATGTTTTCTTCAATTTTTTTTTTTACTTTATTATTTTGAAAAGTCACATCAGATACACTCCATAAAACATTTGTCTGTAATTCAATAAATCTTATTAAAATGTAAATAATTTTAAAAATCCAATTACCATATGATTTTGCTTATAATTCTTTGAAATGTGTGTTTTTAAATTATTAGTACTTGGAATGATTTCTGGAAGAGCCATAAACTTTTCAACTCGTCTAGTACTTACCTAAAACAATAAATCTCTGGTATACTTAATCTAAAATATTTGTTAAAATTTAGTATAAACAGAAAAAAAAAATTAATAAAAATAATTTGATTTAATTAATCACTAAAAACAAGATAAATAGTAGATAAAGTGGTTAATTTTACACTTACTATTGCTGCTATTATAATTGGTACGGTTATTGGAAATATAAATAGGGGTACAGTTAATTGATTGGATAACGCTAAACTTGAAAACACAGCACCAGAATCTAATTGTGTTCCATTTTGCAAATAATATAAGCCCAAACAAAAAAGTGTTATAAGAACCGATGATGCGTGTGTTAAAAATGCTAAAATATAGTAAAAATAATGGTACTGTAATATATGCCACAAAAATTAATTGTATAACGTGTGACCATACTCATAGATCCCCAGTAAAGTGAATCTTTATCCAAAAGATTAAGCTCATTATTCCGAGCTTCAGATATACGATCAACAAAATCATTTTCCCAACCACATAGTTTCACTAGTCTGATACCCTGTAGTACTTCATTAGTTAGTTGAAGTCGTTTATCTGATAATGTCTATAAATTTTATTTAAATATGGTAAATTTTATCAGAATAACTAAAAATGTATTTTTATTACCGCTATTTTTTTAGAATTAGCCGACATTTTTTTCCCGATTACAAATTGTAAGGGTATCATAATTAAAATACAACAAGTTGATCCTATGATGGCACTCCAACCAAGTTTCAAGAATAACAAATAAATCAAAAAAAAAATCTAATATAAAAAAAAAAAAGATAAAATAGTGAATTTTAAAAAATAAAATTGTACATGCTTTTAATGGTATTGCCCAAATATAATGACCAATCCAAAAACTGGACATTATGTTCATTGTATCTTCTGACATTAAATTTATTATATGACCATTTTCTGATGTAGCATCAACTTGAGTTTGTTGTAATTTCAGCATTTTATAATAAAGCATGGCCTAAAGAAAATTATATAAATTCAAAAATGTTTTTTTTCTTGAACATGAAAACTAACTTGGAGTCCAGATTTTAGCCTAATACCTTCAACATTCAGTATGTGAGTACTTGCTTGTGAAAAACTTCCTTGAGCTATACAACTTATTAACATTATAAAAGCCATAACATACCCATTATTTAAAAAATCCCAATGAGTTACACAACATGAGTAAATCTAAAATAATTTTATAAATAATTAATTCTTTACAGTATTTTAAAATTTTTTTCGAACATTATAATTTATTACTTCGTTATTAATATTGAAATTTAACCTACATTTAATAATGTCTCTTCTGTTTCTAGCTTAGTAGTATTTTGTTTACGTGCTACAAAGTTGACAATAATAGATACACCTAAAGGACCAATGTATCCAACGAAATCGCCAAACATTTTAAGTATTCCACCAATTAAAAATTCTTTCCAATAAACTTTGCAGTAGCATTTCCACATAGATACTTTTGAACTAGTACCATATAATTCCTAATTTCAGCAATGCCAAAATGTTCTTTATAAAATATTTTTTTTAATTTGAAATTATATTTCAGACCTTTTCTCTTAAATAAACATTATAAAGTCTTTCGTATTGTGTAGTAGATTGTTCTCGAATAGGCAGTTGTCCCAAATCATCAAGCTGAATAGGATTTTTGTAACAATTTCTTAAAAAACTTGTTAACCAATAAAATGTCACTCTAGAATACCAACTAGATAAATCATGCTTGTACGTATAAAACTCAAGGTTGAATTCTGCTTCCGTCATTTTTGGCTAAAACAAAAATATTAAATTAGTATTAATTACATTTTAGATTATATATAACGCTTGATTGAGTTCCGAACGTAACTATATTATCCATACTAACTGGTAGTCTTTTCATAATATTTTTGTGTAGGTAAAATATTAATTAAAATGTACTTGTTTTAGAAATATTTTACAGAATATTATTTAACGCCCACCGGATAAGCACATGTAAATTAATTAATTAGTGTCAGATTATTAGAATGAACCAATGAAAAGTTAACACTTACATATATTTCTCAAGATAATCACAGGTTAGTGGTATTATTCTATTAGTATTTTAATGACTTAATTTACCAACAACTTTTTTTTAAACTGATCGAACGAATATGAATTAGAATGGATAAAAAACTTTATGGGCTTGATAGTGGTATTCTGAATGGACGCCTTAAGGTAAAATACTTTTCAAAAATTATTTATTCACATAATTTGTAACAAAATATTTTTTCTCGAAATTGTATAATAATAGTTTCCACATATATGATTAGTACCCAAAATTACTTTGAAAAGAGTATAAAACGTTATATACTATTTTGGGTAATTATTAATCATATAATTTTTAATTATAATTCTGTAGTTTCTGACGTAGATTAATTGGTGTAATCTACAACGCGGGTGGTATAATATGAAACAACAATGTAGTTAATAGTTTTCAATAACTTGATAAATTATTAACTTCAATTAAAAATTTGATTTGCATACCTTTCTCACCATAGTAAATAAATGTAAGCCTGCGGTCGTATAACAACAAATAGCAGATATAGCTAAAGCTATTGGTCTCACGTGCACATTTAGTGACAATCCAACATCCATTAATGACACAAAGAGCAATGCTCTACTGAGGCCACAAATAAGCCATACCAATACTCCACATCCTAGTGGACCAGTCTGTCCTTTGATTTCTAATAAGTAACATACTAATCCAGAACTAAGTTGTGCGAGAACTCCAACTGCAGCTACTACCATTGAACCACATGAACTTAGAGCATAGTCCGCAAAAAGAGCAAATTCTACTAGTAAACCAATAGTATTAATAGCGCACCTACTTGAATGATGTCGGAAAAAACAACGTGGAGATAAATCACTGTAGTACAAATCATATTTTATATCAATTAGAACTATAAATAATGAAATAAACATTTGAATATAAAGGTAATATTGTTTAGAATTTTAACTTTTAGTGCCTTTAAAATTTATGTAAACATTATTTTGGCTAATTAACAAGTAAATTTATAAAACTTATAAAATCATTTTAAAAACATTATCGTAAAATGTGAATAACAATTGAAAATTTTTTAACATAAAATATTTATCATAACATTAACATTTTATGTATTGACTTATCATTAATATATAGATATTAAGCGCGTTCGATAAAAAAAAAGTGCTCAATTAATAACAATTATTTTTTGTTTAGTTACCTTGTAGATATGCATTTGACGTATATACATATTAGCATGTTTACATATATAGCGAATCCAAATGAAACAACGTTGAATAATTCCATATCACAAGGGTCGTACACTAACCATGGTTTAGGCTCTGTAGTATTCCATTCAGTTTTGTAAGCTGTACATAAAACCCTATTCATGATGAGCTGATATTTTTAAGGGTGCGACTGATTCGACCAAATCACTTGAGTTGATTGAAGCTATTAAGCTCCGAGTCCCTCAGTTTTACGACACACGAATTTATTAAGTGTATAGATACCTATCACTAAAAATTGGGGGGACTAGCTTGCGTTCGCCTACTCGTCAGCCTACACCAAATGATCATCTAATTGAAACGGATGTGCGCTGAATTTGTACAAGCTCAATATTGTGTACCTGTTTTGTATATCAATAAATTTATTGGTTCTTTTTTTTTAGTTTTTAGGAAACATTATGTATATTTTAAATGTGTTTTGTTCAACTTCGTAGATTAAAACGACAAATGTGCTAATTTAAGATTTTAAATAGTTGGATGAAACATCTTTTTAACTTACATATTTTAAATGAAAAGTTTAATAATACTAATAATTGATATCTATAATTTTACATCACAAAGAATCTATATGGTATCATCTATATTATAGACGTATCAGATCTTAATGAAGTATATTAGGAATATTTTATAGATCATAAATCATATCTAGTTCTACAATTACACGCAACAAAGGGAAAAATTTCTCTTTTCCCTGTAAATGGAGAAAGTCTTCCAAAAAATTACAGTTTTTCAAATAGACAAAATACAAAATTTTTCCCACTTATTGAAATATAAACCAAATATAAATTTTCCAAAAATGTACTACCAAAATGAAATGTTTTTCATTCGCAACATTTCTCGTGTTAACAAGAAATGTCCAATGATAAATATTGTCATACCTGTGGCTCACTTCCAATCTTTATTTTAAAATACTATTCACTTCAGAAAAAAAGTCCAATAGATATTTTTGACCAGCAATTTTTTTAATTAGATCATTTTCAAAGTTTTATTGATCGAAGATTAATATAAAGTATAATTTTGTTTATAAAAACACATAGTTTATAAGAATTACTGTATATATATTCTCATAAGAAGAATTTAAAAAAATTAGTATATATTTTATACGTATGGAATAAGGGGCTAATTTCCCTTCTATAGACATACATATCGAAATGTCTTCGACAGTGATATTAATCACTGTATCATTTAAAACTATACTGGCGCTCACTTTTCTAGGTCCCCACCATGCAAATCCCAGTGTACTGGTTAAAAAAAATGATTGTAATTCATACCTTATTGTTATAGTTACTACTTAAATTACAATTGCATTTTTAAACATCATAAAAGCATTATTCAATCTCTGATTTCATATAGTGAATATTGTAATATTGATTCTGTTAGGAGTACCCAGCGATGTCGAGCACGATAGGTGATTTACAGACTATAATCAATATAGATATCAATAACATTTTATTTAAATGAAAAATAAGTATTATAATTGAAAAAATCTGAAGGCAAAATTGTATAATCAGGTGTATCTAAGTAATCTCAGTTGAAGCCCTTCAAAATTATTATCTTTTATATCTCGAGTTGATCGGGTAGTTCTAACGAGAACTTTATTATATTCTAAAGTTTTAGTAGTAAAAACTGGTTTAGAAATAAATAATTTACTTTCTTTGTTTAAAATATTGATCTCTTAAGATTTAGCGATTAAAATATCAATAACAGTATCTAATATCTTCAGAAATTCAATTTCTTCCATGTGATTGCATTGCAAAATTCGTTAAAATTAATGATTGAAACATTTATGAAACTCATTATATGACGTAAAAACCAATCAATTTATACTAAAGTTTTTCTTTTGTGCTGTATACCGTAATAATGTTGACTCCGATATTTAGCTGTGTAGGCAAATTCTTATACATCTTTAATAATTTATCAGTGATAAAATTTAATAAACGGAATTTTTTTATTTGATGATGTATGAAATTCCATCTAAAAGTAATATAAATCCATTTAAGTTATTAAAATTTTTAGCAAAAAATTAAATACTACAATAAAAAAAAAGACTTTAGTGATGATTGTTTTTTAATTTAATATATTTGATATAGTAGTATAGTATTACGCGTTATGATTATTATTGCCATAAATGACCACCAGTAGTTATAAAATTTAACTTTAATTATTATAAGACCATTATTTTTAAATTATAGGTGTACTTAAACAAGATACAACATTCATGGTATTTTTAATGAAAAAACTATTGGCATAATTTTGTTTTTGTAAAAAATATTATATTTTTAATAACAATACCTACTTCTCCTTAGGTCATAAGTTAAAAATTCAAGATGCTAAGATATTAGCAAAATGACAAATAACTATCATTCAAAACAAATGATTTCAATTTCCAGAGGAGGGAAATTTAGCCCAAATGTAACCTATTCAAACCCGTTAATCTGTAAGGTTTACCCCAATAAATCGAAACTACTCCGCACAAATAATAAAAGTAAATTTAAAGTGCGGCAATTTAAAATATGCCAATCAGAAAAGAGTAGGTTTTTTAAGTACATTGGTGCAGTATTAAGTTTATTAATAATTTCTGATTGACTTATTTTAATTTTTTGTCAATTTTTGTCAAAATTTTGTCTTTTAAATTTTGGGAGTATTATATTAGATTACTTTATTACAATATTTTTGTATGGAAATTTGTTGAATCAGTAGCGAGTGTCACCGCGAAGCTTTCTCGACTTTCTGTTAATAGTTGTCTTATGTACTGTACTTTTTTCTTTTCTTCTTCATTTTAAATTATAATTTTGTTTATTATATTTACTTTAAAGTGTCTATTTAAATATTTACTCTTATACCTAAAAAATGAAGTATTTATTACTTAATTTTATTTATTTTTTGTTTTATCATTATAAACATATCATATACAAAGTCTCTTTAAAAGAGGACTGAAGGGTATTGAGTTTATGAGAAAATTTATACACCGTGACTGATGATAAAATTTTTACATCATTTTTTAATTGTTTTAATGGCCAGAATTTTGACAATTTTTATTTTTTAAATTTAACATAGTTCTCACATAATATTAAAAAAAAGGTAAACATTTATACAATAATTTCTGATTGAGTTTAAATGCATATTTTCTTTGATATCTCTTTTGTCATACTTAGCCTGTTCTCTTATTCTGAACGAAAAACTTTATATTAATTCTTCACGAATTGTTAACTAAAAATTAATTTAACCATACAAATACATGCTTTTATCAAATAAATTATGAAGTAATTTAACTAAGTATTAGTTCTAAAACTTTTTTTCTATTTTATAATACACTATAGCTATAATTTTTCATAAGAATAATTTGAATAATACTAGCCAGACCAGTTATTTCCAATACATAACATTTAACCCTTTTTAGTATCTTTCTACATTATACTATGGCTACCCATAAATCTGACAGTGGTGATGGATGAAAATAATTATTGGTTAGACTGTTTATACAATAGCAAAATACAATGTTTACCTGGTGTTATAGAAATGGATGGGATTTATTCTTAAAAATAATATAATAACCAAATCTTAAATAATCGTTATATTAAGGTTTTTTCATTAAATTACTATATTATGAATGTTTATAAATTAATATTTTATGTAATATTTTTACAGAAAATAAATTGAATATTCTCAATATTTAAACAACAGCATATTAAACAATGTATTTTTTTTGTACTTTTATTATCATAAATCCTTAATTCTTTTTGCCATATTATAATAACTAACTTTCTATATACCACTTATCATTTTTTAGGGTTGTTTATTTTATTTATACATTTATATACATTTTAATACTATTTTATTATTAAATGATATTTTATTTTTACTGTCAGGGGTTATCAATATTTTAAACTGTAGAATATTAAACAACTTAATTTGTGAGTACTAGTATTGTTGAAATATTTATGAGTATTAAAGATTAAAATTTATGAATGTTTACAAATCTAAGTCATTCTCTTCTAAGTACACATAAATATTTAAACGCATAAAAATGTAATGTATTCTTGGTGATAATAAGTGTTTTAATAATTATTTATTTCTCGCGTTTTCAGATTAGGTCATAATCTCAAACCTTTTGCCAACAATCTTGTTTATACTAATATCATCGAAATATTTTAACAAAAATTATTAATTAAACATAATTAAATTTTATCTTGAACGTTTTATATTTTTTTAATTAGGTTTAAAAAACTAATACATGGAATAAATGACTGCTTTCTTAAAATAATTGTTTATCGTGAGATTTTGTTTATATTACGTGAATTCTTAATTTAACATTCAACAATGTCAATAGATGGCGCCTCAGTTTATATGAATTAATGCATGTCGTATGTGTCTGTAATACATCTATTGCGTTTCGGAGACCACCGATGTGCCGGTCGCGTCCCCCACCGATGACGGCTTAACATCGCAGTGCGGGCATACGTTCTTCTATATCTATATCGACCAACCTCCAGGCGGCGGCAACACATTTTCAAATTCACCGCATTCGGAGTCCGTGCGTTCGTTCGACCGGTACGTGAGTATTCGTGTGTTGTATTATTGTTTCGTGTATAATAATAATACCAGTATATTTTTTACTCGCTTAAAAAATAAGATTATCCTTCATTCGTGTTAGTGCGCTGCTAGAATAAATGTTGTGAAATTTTCAATATTTACTCGGTTGCTATTTTGATTTTTCTAACAGATTCCAATGGGGTTGTTTCCGTTGGATATTAATACAAAAGTGTTATCGAATACGTATTTAGTGTCCGGATCATCACTGGACGCTTAAGGAATATCAATGACCGCCGGGCCCATGACGCGAAACGGCGAATGTAAGAAGTTTTCGCCGAATATTTTCAACAAGTCTAAATGTACCAATTGCTTCAGACAGAAAGAAGAGCACAGCGCTGAAGCTTTGGAAAGCAATAGGGTGAGTACCCTATTATGCTATAATTAACATAAGATAAGCTATTAGATGGCTTGCTTATTAAAATCATCTGAACGAAAAAGTTTTCAACGCTTTTAATTAACAATTCGACACGTATATATTATGTTATATGCATAAATACACGTATACAGACGAAATTGATTACCTAAAATCGATTATATTAATTTCTGATATATTTGCTTTTATATAATTATAGTGTTATATATATATANAGATCAAATCGAACAGGTTTTCAAAATAGTTGAATGTTATCATTTATTGCTGTTGCATATTTAAATTTTTCGCACGTGGCTTAGTGAAACGGTTTTGCAAAATAAATTGCTAATGGCTACTTCACGAAGGCATATTTATAGAACATTAGGCCCCCAGATAGATTCGCATATATTTCACGAGGAACATGGGCAATATTTTTTTTTAATGCGCTTGAATAATATCTCCTCAATTCAAGCGACTATAAATACTGACATCGAAATAAGAGGAGTACTGTATTCGTGTTTCTGCGGAATATGAAGAAACCGGTTTTTTTTTAACGTTTGAAACCATGTGTGCTTTTTTAGAACGAGGTAACTTCTCTCTTTAACGCGCTACCTCTGGCACATTGCTGACGGGCTAATGAAATACCGCACGGTCTTCACCCATCAGCTGAGCGCGTTCGCTGACTAGGCTCGAAATTATTGTATTCCAATCACAATAGCACACCTATCATGTATCGATTTTGATGACTCTCTGCGTGAGAAACGATTGGCGACAACCCGTTAAGTATGGGAAATGGTGTCGCCGTAATTCGAAACGTCTAGCCATATCAGTCTTAAAACTGAAAATTATTGTCTTTCCGGTGATGTTTGTTCGATTTCACCAGTTTGAAATTCAATATAACTTTTCTACAATTATGATTTCATTAATTATTAATGAAATGAAAGAGAAAGTGTCATTGTTTTACACATTCGTAGCATTGCTCAACTATGTCATTTTTTTTAGTTTCCGTTGCACCATTAAACAATAATTAATCGAGTCAGATTATGTCTATAGAAAGTCTACGGTTTAACTAACATAGCCGTAAACGATTGAGTTTGAAAAGCACACTCGGCTGATTGACATTTTGTGTTCGACTTGAATGTTTTTGTGTCTTAATTTTTTTGCATCGTTTATATGACTCTGCTCTTCAATTCATCAATATAATGCTAATGGACAGTTAAAGTTTATAGGCGTGGTGCGAAATCAGTCGTGGTTTCAAAACTTTTATAGTACGGATGTAGTAAAACAAACACGTGCTTGTTGTACAAAAGCACTGGACGTCCGTGTTTTGTTTGAACCGTCAAATCGAATATTCTAATTAGGATGCTCTAAAGCAATTAGAAGCTATTCACTCCAAACAGGTGAGGCTGTAGATAGCGTGTAGATATTTATGTGTTGTTCGTTGCAGTTGCTCGCTGCGATGAGCTTACACACCTATCCTTTTTCTTTCGAGTAGATTTTCCCACTTTAATTACCCAACGCGAAATTCGTACTTGGAGGATTTACGTAATTCGTAAGAAACAGTAATAACGCAAGTGACAAGGTAAATGGGAGGTACTTAAAACACAAAATATCATTGAAACAATAATAACTGTAATTACACTTTTGAATGCTGTTTGGGTTTTATGCAACCTAGATTTATGCGGAAATAATGTCATTTTACTTTCCACTCCCTTCTATGACAGACTTTTATATCGAAAATCGATTTTTTACGCCTAATGAATGAAGATACATATTGTTATAGGAAGTGCTTTAGATGAATGCATTCGTTACATCCATAGGATGTAGTCGTTATAGAAACCCATAAGTATACAATTCTGTATATTATTCAAGATATATAAAATAAAAAAACAACCCATTTTTTGAGAGCTTATTTTACATCTTCAAAAAAGTAAATTTTACTTTTTTATTAAAACAAAAGCTTCGACTTCTATAGTCTACATTTGTAAAATTATATTTACATACTTATAATACTATTACAAAATGTTTTGCAATATATCATTCTTGTTCTTGATGATTGTAATGATAAAATTTAATGATCATCATGTTTATTTAAGGTTCCTGGTTAATTTGAATGGATTAAAACATTTTTTAATTATTTAGAAATTGGTTATTGAAAATTTTTAATTAAGAGTAAGATGAGTTCCCCGCTTTAAATGTTTAAAATAATTCTTTGATTTTAACGAAATAGAGCGAATATAAATAGTTTAACTGACAAATATTTATTTATCTGTAAAGAACTTAGTCTAACAATAATAGTAAACACGAGTTCGTTTAAATTTATTAAGTATACAAAAAATAACTTGTATAACATCCATTTTAGGCAAGTTGAATATTTTTTTGTATTGTTTCGAGGTATAAACTTTTTTATATTACGTCACATTTATATGCTTATGAATTCTTAAAAAGTTTTTAAATGGCTGTTTATTTTTATTTGTTAAGTATTTTGTTCGAAAAAAAATTGCTCATGTATACTCATTTAGGTGCAAATTCAAAAGTTTAATTAACAATTGATACTAAATTTGACAATTACTTAACACGACAAGTGAACTCGTATGGCCATATACCAGATTTGATGAAGTGTAAAAATTGGTCATTTGTCATTCAAACCATGAAATTGTTATAGTTGTGATATTATAATTTGTTTCAAAAAAAAAATATATATATATATATATTGTACAACAGTATGTAACAATGCGTTTTTCGAGTTCAATGTCATATGCGCGTCAGGTAATTCATGTAAAATGTTTTGAAAAGTACATTTCGATAACATGCCAACTGTGTACACCACTGTGCGTTTTGTATACAATATTTTAAAAAATATTTAGACTATACAGATTGAAACAAAAATTGTCCGGCCAGTCAAACTGGCCAAATAGATGTGTTCTGCCAACTTGTATAGAAAGACACGTCTTCATTTAAACCGTGGGACGTTTTCTAAACTAATTACCGATATCATAGTCATATTACTGTGTGATATTCTAGTACAATCCTTATAATTATTTTCATATTTTCCGTTTTCCCTATTGCACTTTCTAATGCAATTTCTTCGCTAATACAAAATATATTGCAGATTGGACAAAAATATTGAGTCCATACTATTTTCGGCTATTGAAAATAAACATATAAAAAATATAGTTAATTTTGTAATCAGAATTGTGTGGCGCATTTAATATTTGTTTACAAACAATAGAATTTAATTTACAATACTGAATTATTCTTTAGTTTTCATATTAGTACATGAAAAGTACAGGGTGATCAGTAAGTAAGGAAACATGTGAATTGTTACAAACAATGAAAACAATAGAAACCTGTTTCCTTATTTATTGAACACTCTATATATCACTGCAATTGTAATAATATATATCAGCATATATCACCTATTAAGGTGGTATTAGCTTTGCTCTGTTGGCAATAATTTGATTTTAGAAATTCATAAGAAATCGAGTTTAATTTTTTGTAATATTGCAGTCTTTTTTTCTTCGCCTTTATCTCAACTACTTGGGGTCAGCTATGTAGTATTATATTAAATATTAATATGTATAAAAATGTCAGTATAAGTATATGTCAGTATATATATATCAACACGCAATTGAGCATTATTTTTTGCTAGTTTTATTCAGCCAAATTTTTCCTTCAATGTTAAAAGTTATCATGAAACCACATAGAAAAAAAAATTAGACTGTCTTGTATAGTAAAAAAAATGGAATTGGAGATAAAAACAATAATCAACAGTTGACGAAGAAAGAATGAGGTACAAATTTAGTAAAGAGAAATCAAACCAGACAAGTACTATAGGAAATCCATATCGGGTTAGAACTAGTAGACGATCTGTCTGTAACTGTTGTGTCTATCTATTGTCACATTCATTGATCTAAAGATGAGACGATTGATCTAACTGATTCAGTATGTATCAAATCATATAGATCAAGAAAATTATGAACAATTTAAAAGGTTGTCGATGAAAGTGTTTTTTTATATTTAAAATATATTCAGTTGAATTACTATATCTAATGGTTATTAATACACGCCTTTTAACTGAATACTCTTGACATTTCAAACGAAAAACATGAAATGACATTAAGAGTTCGTATTCTAATATTTCTCTTTTATGGCCATAGATTTTTACAATGTATTTTATATATGCCAAAAACGCTTTAAGACATTCAAATAGAAAAAGCGTTACATACAAAACATTTTTATTTAGTCTGTTTTTATTATAAACGGATTGAAAATAATATATTTAATTTTTTTGAAAATCTCCAAACAAAACCATGTTGTTTTTTAATTTTTGATAATTTTTTAGCTAATTTAAACTGACATGGTAGTTCCTTGTCAGTGGTTGCAATAAATGCCACGTACGGGTGGACGGTTTCGAGACGAAATTATTATTAAAAGAATTTGTTATGCACATGACTAGAAAAATAACAATTTAGCTTTATCTTTATCTCGATTAAATACTATAAGTAGATTTACTCATAAGTATTCCATAACTAAACAAAATATTCTTCCACAGTTTTCGTGATGTTATTATGAAACTATAAGTAGTTGGAGAAACACCAAAAAAACTAAAACTAAAATACTTTTTGATCATTTGTCGATCAATTAAACGTTCGTATGTGTTTTTAAATTTTAGTGAAAAGCCCAACTTGCAATTTTGAAATTTTTTTGCAAAAAAATGTTTTTTGTATATTGAACCTCAAATATCTTTGGATACATTTTAATAATGTATTTTTTTTCATTTTAGATATCTATTATTGTTGTTTTTTTGCACTTATTTTGAAATGTAAACTGTTATGAAATACCCATAGATTGTGTTCTTATTAGCACCTTTGAGGTGTCATATGACTAGATATACTGCAAAATGTAAAAAGCTTAATTAATTTCAATATTTATTTATTTCGTAAATAAAATTTAGCTGAGTGTCATTGTTCAATTTTTTGCTATACGGTGGTCTATTATATATT